AAGCCGTATTAGCGGCGGTGGGATGTCAGCTTGCAAACCCCCAGAGCACATCTCGCTTCCCAGGAGCTGCCCGAGCGCTCGCAGGGGCCTCCAGCTGCTTCCCCTTTCCGGGGCATCTGCGGGGAGTTTTCCGTTTGAGGTTTCCTCTCCCGTCCCTGGGTGCTGGGGTGGTTTGCTGCTTCCTTCCCCCTGCAGAGATCCCCGGGGCCTGGGTGCCCTTCCCTGCCACAGCATCTGTGGACGGCAAATCCTGGGGTGATGCTGGGAGAAGCCCTTTGCCTTTGGGGGGGATGCTCGCCCACCGTGGTGCAGCGCTGCAGGCAGGCACCCAATGCACAGAGGTGCTGGACCTGTGGAGCATAAGGGGAAGAATATAGGGGTTTTTTTAAGCAAAATTCATGGCCTGAACCTGCAGCTCGTGTCTTCAAGCTGGCTCGAGCTGCGTTCCCTGGACATGTGGTGTTGGAGATGTCTCTGAACAAGCTTGGCTCTCCACGAGGCCAGGGCTGAGGGTCTCAGCAGAAGCATCGCCTTGCAGCGGAGGTGGGCAGTAGCTGACGGGTGGAAAGGAGCAGTTCTCCACGGAGCAGGAGGAGGGTGCTGGTATGGGACCTGCAGGTTTCATCCTCCGCTCCGGGTTCAGGAGGAGACCCGTTTCCAGTTGGAGGGAGCAAGGGAAGGAGCACAGACTTGGGCACCGAGCATGTCTGCTTAGCTAGGAACAACCCTTCTCCCTGTCCCCACCAGGTCTGGCACTGGGACAAGAGAGCCTCTTTAACATTTTTTTAACTGGCAAAACCCATGTCAGGCTGTGGGTGCTCCGAACCTTGCTCAGAACAGCACCTTGGGAATAGATGGCTGGAGATAGGTGGCTTGTCCTGGATGTCCTGTGCAGCAAGGAGCTGGACCCAAGTTGGTGGCATCTTCTTAAGAGATGCCTCCAAAATACCTCCGAGAAGCAGGTCCTTGCATTCCTGGGTCCTGGTGCTGGACATGCTTGGCACGGCTTCCCCGCATTCCTCGGTGCCAGCATCCCTTCCACAGTCTGATTGATATAACCCAGTTAAATTCAGAGCAATTGGTCTGAGCCTGAGCTGCGAAGCCCAAGCTGCTATTTCAGACCTGGAAAAGGGTTTGTACGTGCAGAAGCCGTTATTTTTTCCCCAGGTGTTTCATCTAGTCCCATAAAAGAGATCACATCCCCCTCCAGGGCTTGGGCTTGGGGGAAATTCAGAATTCAGAAAACCTTCCACCCAGAGCTTTCCCCCAAGGGCAGCTCATGGAAGAAACGTGGGAAACCGAGGGGTGTGGGATGGGGTTAATAGCGAAAAGATGCTGTGGGAGTTTGTGTTTCGCTGGGCCGGGGCTCGAAACCCTCCCCACTCTTGCTCTCCGGCCGCATCCCAGCAGAGGCAGCGTTTGCACCTCCTGTTTCCGCTGGAACTGGTTCTTGAAAAAAAGAAATACCCAACATGGAACAACTTAATCCTCCCAAACACTCATCTTGTGCCATAAACTTAAAGCTCAGCCTAAAAATAGCTCTGTTCCCTGTTTGAGGTGTAGTCCCGACTGCTTGCCGACTGCTGATTAAGTCTTGGGAACCAAAAATAGCTCCTTAATCCAGTGCCAGCATAACCAGAGGTTTTTCCTTGAACAGCTGCTTTTTGAAGCAGATCAGGCTTGTTCTTTCAAAGGCGTTGCGGCCGAGCACCCGAATTAATTTTAATGACCACAACGTTATAAGTGATGGGATGGGAGATGCTGAGAGCATATCCATGTGAGCTGAGCCAGCGCAGAGCTCTTCCAGGCTCCTACATCTCATCATCCTCAGAACTCATGCCTTTCCTTATGTTAATCCACCCAGATTTTCTATTTTTTTTTTTTTCCATGGGATGATGTAAGATACAAAAAATACTTGCAGGAATTTTCTTTTCTTTTTTTTTTTTTTTTCTTTCCTGCTAAATGATTCAGCCCCCAAATTTCTTCTCTCCCAGCTGGCAGCCCGCTGCAGCCCTTCCCTCTTGAACTTCTTCCAGCTCTTGCATCAAACTGAACAATGTAATATTTGATGTGCTGTGGCCGTAGCCTGTTCCAAGCAGCCTTTTTTCCACGGCTCCTACGGGAAATGTCCGCCTGACTCACCTGCTCCCGCTCCCCTAATTGCTCCCTGGCAGCGGATCAGCCTCTTCGGGTCTCTCTTTGCTGCTGCTGCCTTGCTCTAAGGGCTTTTTTTCATGTTTGTTTGTTTTCTGCATGCCTGGATATTTTCAAGCTTGAAGCCTGACTACTGAAAATTTTGCAGTGGATGTTGTGTGGGAGTGGGCCAAGGAAGTGGTAGGAATAGGAATGGGTTCGGTGGGGATTTAAGCCCGTGTCTGTGCCCAGCGAAGTCCCAGGCGCGGTCCCTCCCGTGTTTTGGTGGCCCGTGAATTGCGTGGTGAAGGACCTGGGTGCTTCCAGCTCTGCCCTCCTGTTACTTATCCAGGCATCCCAGCAGGGAATGAAGGGGTTTGTGCCCCTTTCCCGAGGTACGGCGTAGGCTCCCCAGGCTTTCTACCTCCTCCCATCGTCCGAGATGTGATAACTTCCCCAGCAGTAATTCAGAAACTTCTGGAGGATGCGATTCAAGTTTTCTCCTCGCCCTGGTGATTTCAGTGTGGTCACACCCATCTCCAACCCTTCACATTTTCCTTCCCTTTTTTTTTTTCTTTTTAGTGACTTCACTTTTCAAGTGGATATAAAACACCGCCAGGATTTTTATTTCTTGAGAAATCATTGGGAAATTGTTAACTCAGGTCTAGAAATTTCTTCCACCTCTTGTTGCTGCGTGTTTCACCCATGAAGCATATCACAGAGAAATAGGGTCTGTCCTGAACCTGCAGATTTCCTTGTGCCTTGTTACGGGGAATTTTAATACTTTGATGGGGGGGTAGGGATCAGAGCTGCCGGGGCAGCGGCTGTGCTGGAGACCCACTTGTCCTGCAGCAGTGACCCGGGGAGCGGTGCCTGGAATCGGGGCAGAAAGACGGGACATCTCGCCGGAGGAGAAGGGAGCGAAGGACCGCTGGGTCGGCAGTGGTTTTGAGAAAGAAACGGTTCCCTCGTGGCCTGTGTTTCGTGTCTGAACGTGGTACCACGGTGAAATGGAGAACTAGAAGGTGCCTTTGGGCATCTCTTGCTTTGGTGTCCTCTCACCCACCGTTCATTCCAGCTGGCGGGAGGCAAGACCTCTCTCCCATCACCTACCAGGGGTTGCTCCATGCCCTGCTGCTGCACAGGCTATTCCCTGCGGAAGGATTGAGCCCTAAAGGGAGGTTCGGAGGGGTTTTTTCCCTTGTGCAGTGAATGTTTTGAAGGCTTTTCCCATGCTTCTTCCATCTCTGTGTGCAAAGCTACGGAGCAAAGTCTGCATTATGGGTTTTGTCTGGGGCAAGGCAGTGGGGAGCATCCCCCAGTAACCTACTGCGAGGTCAGCTGAAGCTTTTGCGCTGGTGGATATGGCCAACAGCTCCTTTGGGAGCTCTCACCAGCCCCAGCGGCGTGGTGCTGGGCTTTGGCAACTGGCACAAGGGGTGTTGAAATAAAGTCCTTTTCCCTCCTCAGCTCAGGCTTCTGGCTGCCTCAAATTTTACAAACGTTTCAGCAGAATTGAGGGATTTGGAGAAAGGGAAGGTGATGGACGTATAGGTGTGCTACATCCTCTGCCATCGCATCAGGTTATCACAGATCCCAAAGCTGTACTGCAGGCTGGAGACTGCCATCGACCGGCTGTGGGAATGCAGATATTTCCCCAAAATCCAGTAACCTGGGTAGGGTGGGCTTGGGTCGGATAGGTTAGGTGCCGCACGGCAGCTCCTCCTTCCCATAAAGAGCTCCCGGGATGCAGCATCTTCTAAATGCTTGATGCAAGGACACTTCTAGGCAAACTTCAGCATCTGCATTTAGGGTGAGGCATGGAAGGTCTGGCATAAAGTTATTTTAATGAACGTTGTTGAGTGCCTTTGCCATTATGGTACTGTTTCTGACTTGAAAGGATTTGTTCTGAGTCACTGGCTCTTGAATATTTAAAACGCAAGCACAAAGCACCATCTTTTTTTTTTTAAACACGGGCTCACAGCAACATTATCAACTGACCGTACAAAAATTTGACCACCAGTAACTTTCCCCTGAAACGCGCGGCGATATCTGATGCCAGGGTGAGCGAGATGGTGTTGGCCGGGTTATTTAGTGGAAGGACAGTATTTAGTATTAGGACAGGGATGGAGACAGAGCTCTGAGAAAGCCGCTGCGGTTCGGGGAGGGGTCTGGTCCTGTGCAGCACCTCCGTGCTTGGCATTTGCGTGTCTCTGACTCAGGTCTTAGGTGACTTCTGGGGTGCTTGTGTTGGCTCCCACCCAGGAGCATCCTCCCTGAGGTCCTCCTGGCTTGCGGCTCTTGGAAATGATGGAGGGACCTTTCCTTTTCTTTCCCCTCTGGCTCCAGGTGGCACAAGCTACGCTCCAAGCCTGGGAAGAAGGAGAAGGAGCGTGGTGAGATCCTGGTGAGCATCCAGTTTACGCGCAACAACCTCACGGCCAGCATGTTTGACCTGTCCATGAAGGACAAGCCGCGGTCGCCCTTCGGCAAGCTGAAGGACAAGGTGAAAGGCAAGAAGAAATATGACTTGGAGTCTGCCTCTGCCATCATCCCCAGCAGCATGGGCGCCCTCGACATGGAGGATGACTATGACATCGGGGGCAAGAAGTCCAAAGTCAAGGGCTTCTTCTTGAAGAACAAGCTACGCAAGTCATCCCTGACACAATCCAACACCTCCCTGGGATCCGACAGCACCGTCTCTTCTGCCAGCCTGGGCCTGGCCGCAAATGTTCCCGAGGTAACCAAATCCCCGAGCAGACACAGCAGTCTGTCCACGGACCGCTCTGGTAAGAGGATAACGGTTTTAATCTCCATGCCCACCCCCCCCTTTTTTTTCCCCCCGTTCTTTTCTTTGTAAGGGACTGTTGAGGCTTTCCTGCAAAACTGTTAACTAATTGCTTACCTAAGAAGTGACGTCCTACACAAACCCTGCGAGCCCTTCTGCGTGCTGGCAGCAACGTGCTTGCCAGAACGGGGGCAGACATCTAAGATTTTGCTTTTCATGCTGAGCCTGTATATGAACAGCCTGACTTTACGTTGATGCCGCATATGCTCCCTACAGCACGCCACGAGCTTGCGAGCTACGAGGATTCTTTAGGACCGTTTCTTCTCTGCCTCCTAAAAGCAGGTCACTAAAACTGACTCGTAGCAGTAAGCCCTGGGGAGAGGGTTGGGCGAAGCAGAGCACGTTGCGGCTGCGCTGCGCTGCTTGCCTGGCTCTTTAATGAGACACCTCCGGCTTGGAGGCAAAGCTGAAACAGTGACCGGTTCCTGGTGATTAAAGCAATCTGAGCTCTTGGCGCTCGGAGAGCGGCGATTTGCAAACAAAAAAGGTCCTTGTAGTGAATTAATTCTTGCCGTCCCTTGAAAAGAAAATATATAATTAAATGGTTTAATTGGCTGGAGACAGCAAATTCCCATATTGGGTGGGAGTCCCTGGCTACATGCTGCTTCTCACCGTGCTGGTGAAGCCGCCTGCGTGAAGCCTCTTGGTTTCTGCTGAGTGATGTTCCTGTGCACAGCCGGAGAGCGAGTGAAGGCACCGGTCTGGCCTCATCATCCTCACATCCTGGTGAAGGAGACAGCATCTCTGGCTAGGAAGGGAGAGCAGCTGCCTGTCACCTAAAGTCCAGGCAGTCCTTCTCACCGGGCTCTCCACGTAACCCCGAAAATCTGCTGAGCGTTAGCGATAGCCGCAGGGTCAGGCAGTGGGAGGGAGAAGCGGGCGCTGGGCCCTCCTGGCTTGTATCACCCAAAGCGGCAGCCTGGCGTGTCGGAGCGGAGCTCAGAGCCTCGTCGTCTTTCATTCAATGCAGACTCTTACATCACACACCAGCATAAGCCCTTCAAAGTAGCTTCTGGGTAGTTTCTTGCATTTATTATCGACCTCAGATCCTCTCAGACAAGGGGTTTGTCGTCTTACAGGGACTCCTCTCCAGATCCTGCAGTGGGAGGTGATGTGCTTGGGGAGAATATCGTGTAGCCTGTATAGCCACGTACTTGCGACCTGTGCTTTGCATTTCTAGTAATTTAATTATAATCTGGTAGAGCCTGGGAGGGAGAAAGCCAGTATGATTTCACAGGTCTCTAGTGTTTGCAAAGAGAAGGTAACTTGTAGGTAACAAGAAGGTAGACTTGTCATACTCATGCCTGTTACTCAGATGGCCTCACCTCTGTTTTGGGTTTTATTTCCTCCCAGTGAAAGACTACTTGCCGTCGCCGAAGCTGACCCACAAGAGAGCATTCAGTGACGATGTCTCCCAAGTCAGCCCGGTCCTGGAGCCCAAAGCAATCCAAAGCCTGAAGCCAAAGAACG